GGTTGAGAGAAAGATGCCAACCGCTCTGGACCCAAGACTTTGAGTATCTTGTTGGACCGCTCAGCGACCAAGTCAGCGAACCTCTCCGTTGCCATACCCACATCAGTTGTTGTAGCACCGCTATCTAATACAATCGGTGCCTCTGCTTCCTCCGCCTGCTGGTTGAATGGGTCGGCCGCCTCCGCTGAATCCATAGTCGACTGTTCCGGAATAGCTGCTAGAATTGCCGCTGGAAAGGGAACTGAAGGCGAGGCTCCTGATCCTTCTTCTTCTCCTGGCTGCTGCTGTGGAGGCTGTTGCTGCTGCAACTGCTGCTGCTGCACCTGGCTTTGCATCTCTTCATCCTGCGTCTGCATGATGATCGAATGTTGGATAAGTCCCGATAGCTGGTCCAAAGCACTGTCCACATTATTCATCTGGTACTGGATCGACGGGAACATGGAGGTGTGAGGTGAGTGCGGAAGCGGTGCAACTGGTAGTTGACGTTGTCGCTGGGAGTAAGACCTTGGGCCTGGAAAGACTGGGCTGCTACCTTAATCTCGAGCTCTTTCTTCCTAGTTTCCAGTTTCACGAGCTCCTCATTTTGAGTAACCATGTTGTTACCTAGCTCCTGATGCCTCTTGTCTAGATCTGAAATTGTGCTCCCTAATTCCTGATACTCCTGGTACATCTTGCCGAGCTTTGTCGTCAGGGAGGCGATCTAATCGGACAGGGACCTGACCTGGTGATCCGTGGGCTTCGCTGCAAAGGCTGAGTCCTTAGCGACACGGAGTTTCTCCAGGGCGTCCTTAGTGCTGGGGTGATTTTCCCCATGCCAGGTCTTGAAGTGATCGTAGTCCTTTTGGGCCAAGAGAATCGGATCTTTCTTGATGGCATCTGGATCTGGAGCTCCCAATTGGCCCGCAGGGGGAGCTTGGGACCGTGAGGGAGGGGGGGGCGGTGGGGGCGGTGGCACGTAGAGCGGCCAATTTTGCTGTTGCCACGGCTGGTACGTGAACTGGCTCGGAGCATACTGCTTCGGATGCTGCTGGGAGTGCCCCGACTTTCCCTGATCTGCTGCAAGCCCCTTGCCCCTGCCCTTGCCCTTTCCCTTTTTGCCCGTCCCCTGGGCGGAGCCGTTGATGAACGACTCGTACTGGAACTGGTTCTGGAAGTAGCCTGGGTGATACTCCCAAGGAATACGACGAGGAAGATAGACATCGAGAGGTCCTCCACAAAGGTCACACTCCTTAGCTCCACGACTGCGCCAGACCCAGCCCGGGCAGCCTGGTTGCAGGCAGCGGGCCCGACGCGAGTCTGGCAAACCTTGCGCCATGCTGCCTTCCTGAGAGGTGATTGAGCCGCACCTGTGGCGGCGCGGCCGAGAACGAAAGTTGCTCCGACCAGGAGCTCACTGAAAGCTTGACTGAGGCAGCCAGGCCTGAGGAAGGGCTGCCCTTCCACCTCAGCCTCGAGCCTCTGGAGTCGGGACGGGAGGTAAGCTCCGTCTTGAGCCAAAATGGCTACGGGGGAGGAGGCGGAGGAGCAGGGGGAGGAGGGGGAGGAGGGGGAGGAAGAGGAGGAGGAGGAGAAGGAGGAGGGGGAGGAGGAGGAGGAGAAGGAGGATGGCACGCAGACTGCAGTCGTCCGACGCCCTGACTTTTTGAAGGGGGGGGCCCCTGGGAGTCCCGATGGGTTCAATGTGCTAGATTTACATCGGGCCTGTCCCCCTCTACAGAAGGCATGTTCAAGGATAGTCCCCAAACAATTTCTGGGGACGATGTTTGGACTACTTCTGCACATGTTTTCAGTCTTGCCTGGCCATGCTCTACTTCTCGTCCAAGATCCCCCTGCAGGAGGACATGCCCGACTCACGGCTGGATGTCTGGGGCTGCCCCCGCGCCGCGTGGAGGAGCCTCGGCGGGCACGCACGCGTGGCGGGCTGGACGAACGGGGGGGATTGGGAAAGGGGGGGTGCGAAATTTGCTGCATGCAGCTGGTATCGGCCTCACCGAGGGGCCCATTCCTGGATACACAGCTCCACCCGGCGCCGAGAGGCGCCGGGAAGGTCAGCTGCGTGAGCCGAGTCTCCAACCCCTCCTTAGCTATCTCCCCTCCTTTTCGCCCGACCCGAGGCGTGGGCGCCCCACGCGCTTGTCGGGGGGGGGGGGCACGGGGCCCCAGCCGACCATGCGCGTCGGCGGCGGGGGCCCGGCAGCCCACACCGCGAGAACCATGCGGCCTCGCTGCCGGGGGCCCGTCGGCGACGCATCGGCGACGCATCGCCGGGGGGGGAGGAGGAGGGGGAGGAGGAGGAGGAGGAGGAGGAGGAGGAGGAGGAGGAGGAGGCAGGCAGGGAGGAGAGAGGGGAAGAGGAGGGGAAGGATAGAGAGGGAGAGAAGGAAGTCAGGTGGTGGAGAATACGCTAGAGTAGGTAGGATGAGGAAGGAGCTGGACGGAGGACGTAGGCGGAGGCAGGATGAGGAGGAGGAGGCGGAGGAGGCGGAGGCGGAGTAGGAGGAGGAGGAGGAGGAGGAGGAGGAGGAGGAGGAGGTGGAGGAGGAGGAGGAGGCGACGCGTCGGCGATGCATCGGCGATGTTTCCCCTTCCCCCTGCCCAGGCATCCGGCGTCTCGATGTTAGTCGAGACATGGGGCCCAGAGATTGCTCGACCACGCATCCCTGGGGCCAGTGGTTCATCCCGAGCTGTGTTTGGCGGTTTGGGGGCCCATGCCAGGCCCTCTCGCCAGGCTGTTTGTTTTTTTTTGTCTTGACTTCTTGAGATTTCTCAATGCCAGTGCTGATTATAGATAGTAGCACGCTGACGCAATGCCCATCTTGCGTCAAAATCCCCTCCTCCCTCCCCCATCCCTCCTTCTCGTGTCTCTTCCCCTCCTGCTGTTGCTGCTCCCCCTCCTCCTCCCCCCTTCTCTTCCCTCCTCTGGAGGACCAGGGCGATACGGGATCTCCGACCCCAGCGAAGACGACCGCTGGTGAATTCGACCCTAGCGAAGGCGACTGGGCGACATCGAACCCCTGACCAAGCCGACTCGTGTGTGTTGGAGCCTTGCGGATACCTTCCTGTGCCTTTTTTGCGTCCTTGGGGCCCTCGTTGGGGCATTATAACGCCATTTGGTGTTGTCTTGCGCTGGCCAGACGGGGTCATCCTTCACACGGCCTGCACGGTAAATCTGGGAGCGATCTACAATGAATCATGCAGAATACGCACACGTTGTTCTGGGCGAAGCCCTCACGTAATTTGTAACCCTCGAGACTGGTCAATTGCCGACTCACTGGATGCTGACTGTCTGACTCCCCAAGGCCCTCGGGAGGCAGTTGTGCCCTCGGGGGCGAGGCTATTCGCTCGGCAGTTTCAGCCAGCACCTGAGGCGATGCTGCTGGCAGTGCAAGTCGGGGCTGAGGATGCTCCCGCGCATTTTGTTTCCGCACAACATCCGCCTGTACAGTCGGGGCGCTGAAGAAGGAACCCTTTTCATTGGGGAGGGGCTCCGTGTTCCTTAAGTGTTTCACAGCTTGCCTTAGGCTTTCCTTATGTTTTCGACAGGAAATCGAAGGTTAACTTCTGGAAAAAATTGGCCTTGCTCCTTATTTAGGGTTCCTTAGGTCAACGCCCCGACTGCAGGGGGACACGCCCGACCTGAGTGTGAGATGCTGCCCGTGCACGGCGGGGATGGGGCAGTCGCTGCGCCTGCAGCCGTCGCGCGAGGCTGCCCTCGGGTGGCCTCGGCGGGCCGTCGGGGCGCCGCTGCTCCGATGGTGTATGCCGTCGGGGATGCGCGGTGCGGGCGGGCCGAGGGGCCTCGCCGCGTCGACTGCATGGGTTTGCACACGTGGGGGAAGCGCAGCACGAAGTCGGGCCTGTCCCCCTCCAGGGGGGTCTTCGACGGAGACTAAAACAGACCCCAGGCACAGTCAAGGCATGGTCCAAACATAGTCTGGGGACCATGTTCAGAGTATTGTGTGACCTGTTTGGGGCATGTCGGGGGTATGTTTGAGTTTTCGTCGAAATTCCCCCCTGTAGGGGGACACGCCCGACTTAAATGTAGCACCTCAGTTCGGGGAGAGGATCGGTGGTTGTCGGTTTTGCGGTGGTGGTTTTGCCCACGGGCGAGGCGTTTGGCAGCCTGAGTCGGTGGGTGAGCGTATCCAGGTGGCAGTAGCCTTATCATTGGATGGGGTTTGCGGCAGTTGAAGTAGGGACCGAAGATATGTGTGTGTGGTGTGTGGGGGGGGGCATTTCTAGCTGAGAATGTCAGGGTGGTGATAGTGTCCGTTGCAGCCGTTGGTTGGGAACCAGGCAAGTTCAGCCTTGAGAGGAGTATATCTGGTCGGCATTACTAGCAGAGAGGTGCGGATATTCTGGTGCTGGTTTGATCCGCGGATTGGTGATATGGCAGTGTGCACCGCGTGATTAGGAGACCATCTAGAAGGTTCTTGCCAAGAGGTCTGGATAATTCGGTGTTAGTTCTATTCTAGAGTGTTGCGCTATCCCGTCAGCTCCCGAAAGGGAGACGGAGCGAATGTCATTGATTGTCCGAGTACGGTGGAGCGCACGAAGACGACGAAGAGAGACATGGAGACATGGCGCTCAGGAGAAGCAGGCAGGCAAATGGGGCAGGGGGAGATTGAGCAGGAAGCTCCCCTGCTTTATCAGTCGTGTACCAGAAGTTTCTATAGCGCCCCTTCAACCTTGCACGGCCCCCTTTTCAGAGGCAATGCATTTCTGCGTCACCTCTATGCTGGATGCAGCTGAAATCGGTGATCTGCCCAAGGGTACCCCTGCATCCTTTCCCTCTTCGGCCATCCTGAACCGCTTTCGATGGCCAGCCCCGCTCGAAAAGCTTCCACATGGGTGCCCAAGGGGCCTGCACCCTCACCGCGCACCCCGGCTGTCAAGGTTTTGACTGCCCTGGAGATCGAGAGCGAGGCTGGTGCACTGGACCGCTTCCGCCCGCACGCCCGCGCGGCGGAACGGTGCTCGCCGCCCCCCCCCTCCCCGAGGACCGCCTCTTCTCCGGCATCTTCGTGTGTTTGACCATTTATGCATTGGTGGCGATCGACCTGGAAACCATTTACGGCGACCGGGGGACCACCGGCGCATGCGACGAGCGCAGGGCACATGCAGCCACACGTGTCCTCCCTCATCACCTCCCCTCAGCCCTCCGTCTCCTTCGCTGCTCTGGCATTCTCCTCCCGCTGCTGCTTGCGCAGTCGTGTCCGCAGCGGCCATACTTCCTACCAGTGCGGGCTTGTTTGCCGTGTCTACAGTTCGGGGGTGGTCGAGCTCGTGTGCGCCTTCGCGATACAGTTCACCAGTTTGTATACGAATCGTTAGTTATGTTGTGTGTTTGTGGTTGGCTCGCGTCAAGGAAAGGTAACGCTCTAAGAAACGATCAGGTCGCCTCGACAAGTTGCAGTGAGCTCACATGTTGCCTCCAATGCCAGGGGGATCCAACTATACGCTATAACCCGACACCGATCTTGGCCAGGCAAAGCTTGGACCCAGGATGGAGTACACGCCGATCCTGTGCCGAGGATGGGCCTGGCCGGCCAGGGTCAGCGCATGTGGACGGGTGCCGTCCTCCGATGCGCAGGGCCCATTTCGATTCGCTCGTTCGGGTTCGATATCAAGTTCGCCCAGCTCGGTCTGCTTCGATTGGGGGGGGGACCCGAAGTGCCTCCCCCCGCCTTCGAGCCAGGAAGGCCAAGAGGCCTACCTTGCGCTACAGGCCCGTCCGATCTCAGGGGCGCGCGGGGTTGTGCGGCAGGCGGACGGGTGGGCTCGCGAGCCGCTGGCCGCTGGCCTCGGTGGGGAGGCCAGCAGCGACACGCGTGCCGTGGCGGTCTCTGCGCTCCCGGCCTGTCGTTGGCGTCGGAGTCTTGGCCGATGTGTTGGCACAGGGCCCCGCCTTTCCCCCCCGCCCTCTCACGCTGATGCCCTCGGCCCCCCCCCCGCGCGCGATGGGGCCCAGCCCCTGTGGTCGTGGTCTTGTCGGCGTGGCGAGATGGGGGGTGCTGGTGCCCCCCCCGGGGTTGGTCGTCGTCGTAGGCGTCGTCGTCGTCATCGTCATTGGCGTCGTCGTCGTCGTCATCGTCATCGGCGTCGGTGTCGGCGTCGGCGCTAGTGGCGTTGGCATTGTTGTCGTCGGCGGCGGCGGCGGCGACGGCGGCGTCGTCGTCGCCGTCGTCGTCCCCCCTCATCCCATGAGTTTGGGGGGGGGGCCTAGGAACCCCGAGACACGTCCCATCTCGGGGGTGCCTGTGAAACCTCGACCTGGGATCGTGTGTCTGGGCGCAGCCAATCTGGCTCGATCTCGATGCAGAGACGGCGCAGCCCGATACGATGGTCGCCCCGATCCGGTCCGACTTTCCTATTCGATGTTTACCGGTCTCGTTTTCCCGCCCTTGCATGTTGGCCAATTCGCTACAACGGCACCCCCGTTTGGATAGCTCGTGTCGCCAGCGCAGACGACCCCTGCCTAGCCGCCGAGGCAAAAAGTCACATGGTCTTGCCCACCAGGCGATTTCTTTCCCAGTCCTCGAGTTCCCCCCCAAAAAACACAAAGACTGTCCACCCAGCGCTCAGGAAAAAATGGCAGTTCGGGGGTGCGCCCCCCGGGGGGCTGCTCAGGCGCATCCCCCCAATCGCACGTCTCCGAGTTGGGCCCCAGATTGACGGTCCAGTCGAGAGCCATGCAAACTTAGATTTGGGTCCCGGTATTATCCTCTTCACGGAACGAACCCAGCTGGATGCTCACATGTCATTTTTCAAGGAGCCGCCTGGAGAGATCTTCCATTAACCCCACCTCTTCCCATACGCTTGACGCCCCCACGTCGGGTGTTGCTACAAGTGCCCCTGGCCCAGAGTGCCCCCAGGAGTTCCAAGGAGGCCCCCCCGGTCTCCAGAGCACCCTCACGAGGCCCAGATGGCCCCAGGGACATCAAAATTGAGCGAAAAGCTGGGGGCACCTTGCGTGAGGGGTTGGCAACCCCCCACCCAGATTCTGTAGATAACACCTATACCTGGAGCGCGTCTTTTATTCGATGTTACAGCCGTCGCCAGGCCCGCGTCCCCCCTTAGTGATATAACGTTCGGCGCCCGCGGGGTCCTTTCGAGCATCTGGCATTCTTAGCTTTTCTGTGCCATTTCCAGACACCGTGGGCGCACAACGTTGCGTCACTTGGTCCTCTGTCCCCCCGACCCCCCCCTGGTGACGCCCGTTACGCTGGGAAGGGACGAGATCCGGCTCCAGCCAATTGCACTCGAACTCAAACACGAAGTCGTCTTGATCAGCTCATCTACCATGAGGGCGGCATGCTACGAGGGTGTATTTGGTGAGAGGAGATTGATAAGGATGTGTATCTGACGATGTGGTGCCGTGGCCAGTCACAGAACTTGTGCTACAGGTCATGGTACGGTCTGCGACACTTGATGGCCCTTTCTCGCGTCGTGCGGTGCGTTCTTTCATAGAGAGGGCGTGGGAAGGTGACAAAGATTCCGAGCTCGTCGTCAGCGTAATCACCACGGCCACCCTCCCTCATGCTCCACCCCTCCTTTTCATTTACCCCGATTACAGGTGCACCTGAAGCATCGCATTTCAAGGGGAGGAAGAGGAGAGGGCGCCGCGCTTGAGGAGGCGGAGGAGGAGGAGGGGGTGGAGGAGGAGAAGGAGGAGGTGGGAGGAGGCAGGTGGGTGAGGAGTATAATTAGAGAGAAGCGGGAGCAGGATCGCGATGAGGCGGATAAATTGGGATCACGGTTGCGCTTGTTCCTCGCGGAGGAGGAGGAGAATTGAAACAAAGACGCACATTTGCATGAATTCACACGGAGTTCGAACGTAAATACGTTCGAATTTTGTGTGACTTGATATTTACGGCGACTCAAAACGTATTTAATGCGACTGTATGAACGTATTACGCCGACGAAATGCGTATGTAGTCGGCGTTCGTTATTGTAGTGGCCTTCGGCCAGTGCCGCCGATCCGGGGCGCTCCGACTGATGTGATCCTTCTTCGCCCTCGTCCCTCCTCTCTTTTTCCCTCCCCTCCTCTCACTCAGCATTTATCCAGTGGCCGTCGGCCTATCCCGCCACCGTGCGTGGGTGGTGGGTCAGAGGCCTCATGGATGCTGGTTGGGATCTCGTGGTTGGCTGGGACTTCTGGGGGCCTCTTGGGCGCCTCTTGGGGCTTCTTGGGGGCCTCTTGGGCCTCTTGGGGCCACTAGAGGGCCTCTTGGGGGTCTCTTGGGAGCCTCTTGGGGCTTCTTGGGGGCCTCTTCTGCGCCCCTTGGGGCCTCTTGGAGGCCTCCTCGGAGCCTCTTGGTGCGGGAGGGGTGGTACTCGAGGTCGGAACCCCCTCGGAGGCCACGATCCTTGTGAGGGGTGTCAAAAAACGCATCCGCCGGAAACTCGCACCCCCCCCCCCACCCCCCCTTCCCCGGCAGAGCCACCCCGGCACCCCCCCCAGAGGCTGAGGCTCAGCCTCGAGGCTGTAGCTGAGACTCCTTGAAACTCACACGCCGGATCGGCGGATGTGGGGGCGGCCTCGCGAATTGAGGAAAACAGATTCGCCCACGTGGCTCGGCGCGTACGTCCTTTTGGTGCTACCTTCCTGGACCCCGGGAGGGGACAGATGTGGACATGTTTGGACCCCTGGGGTCCGAAACATGTCCACATCCACCGCCCCCTGGGGCCCCAGGACGCTGCTCCCCTACGCGATGCTTCTTGATGGATCCCCGCCCTCGCGTCCCCAAAGGAGGAGAGGGAGAAAGAGGGAGGAAGGAGGGAGGAGGGAGGAGGAACGAGGAGAAAGACGAGGTGCGGGAGCAGGACGACGACGGTGAGGCGGATGGGGAGCACGGCTGCCATTGCTCCACTGGGCGTGGGCGCGCTGCTGGCGACCCCTGTGGCCCCCGGGTGCGGGGGGTGCGGCTCGAGTCCAGGCTTCGCTGCCCTTGTTCGTGGATGGAGGGCGAGGGGTGGGTGAACCATGGGGAAGCGCAGGAGGGTGTGAACCACAGGGAGGGAGTTGAGGGCGATGGGGGTGGAGGGGGTGAAGGGCGAGAGGGGGTGAACCATAGGGAGGGGGGGGGGTGGAGGGCGAGGGGTGGGGTGGAGGGGGTGGACCACAGCGAGGGAAGGGTGGAGGGCGAGGGGGGGGGAACCACCAGGAGGGGCAGGCTCAGGGGAGGAGCACCGTTGGCCTGCCATCGCCGATCGATCGGCGATCGATCGGCGCTGGGCCCGATGGGAAGGCCCCACGTTCCCGGGCGGGGTAGGGGGCCCAGGCGCCGAGTGGCGAGGCGAATCGGCATCGGGGGGGTCGATGCATTCCACCCTGAGCCTAGCTCGGCGGCGAGCAAAGGGGGGGGGGCGCGAGATGGAGAAGGCCTTCTCAGAGGGCTCGGGAGTCCCCCGGCCTTCTGAGAAGTCTGCTGAGCCTTCCCCGAAGACGCAGAACACTTCTCCGAAGGCGCCCCGATTCGTCTCCCGAGCCCCCCGATCTTCTTACTTTCGGGGCCTGGGCCGGGTGGTTTAGATGCTCGTTTTGAGGACCCTCCTGAGGGCCCGCCTAACGAATCTGTTCAACCCCAGTTCGACGCAAGTTCAATTCAGGTCCGACTTAGGTTCGACTCAAGGACGATTCGAATCGACAGACGTTCGATGCAGCTTCGACGCACGAGTGGAGCGAGTGGCTCCAGGAAGGTCCCCAGAATAAGCAGCCAAGGTGGTGGTGTACAGTGGATCCTCGTGAGGCCCTTAGCGCCATCCACCAGGCCAGTATCCTCGTTCGAGCACGCACGTTGTGAAGCCGCGCGCCGCAACATCAGCCCCGCCCCCCTCTGCTCCCCTTAACGTCCACCCTATCAGCACCTCCGGCAAGGACAAGGCGGGGAGGGGCAGTTCTTCATGCCTTCCAGATGGTGTCCGAGTAGATGGGGTCAGAGGATCGCGGCGCGTCGCCGATGCATCGGCGATGCGGCTCGATGTGGAGCTCGTTTTT